AATTTAGAATTTTCCATGTCGAATTACTCCAGTCTTTAGTGTCACATGATCTTACAGATGTAATTTTAATATGTTGATTTGGTGATCAGGAATCATTTCTTATTATTATCAATGCTAAAAACAGTTGTGCTACTAATATTTTTGTTGAACCTTGTTTTTTATAATTTTTCGATGACTAGAAAGTTCAAAAGAACAGCATTTATTATTTTAAATCGAAATCTTATGTAACATTATACAATTTTTTACTGTCACTTTTGATCAGTTTAACCCACCCTTGCTTAATAAAATAATTTCTTTAAATAGCTAATAAATATTACTGTCAAAATGTGTCAAAAGTGACAACAGGTTTTTGCTTCATAACTATAGGATGACACACAATGGCGCTTTTAGTAACAGGGTGTGTGCCAAATAAAGTCATAATTCACATTCATATTATGTAATACTAGGACTTATCAAGTATGCAAATCACATCTAACAAGAATAATTAAAAGCGAAGTGTGTTTAAGACACTTTAAGAGTCCTTAAGGCCTACTGCACAGTATATAGAAGAAATGAACATCCAAAAACAATCCGAAAAATAAATAAGGACCAATGCAATGCACAAATGATTATCTGGAGAGATTCACTCGAATGAGAAACCAGCAGCAAGATGTTTAAACCACATGCTAGTTCAAACAAGCTGCTTCACTCACCATGTGTCCTGTACGGTTTGCAAGTGTCATCACTAATTCATAATGGCATCCTCTTACTGAGAGAAAGACACTTACGGGAGGCAGAAGCTTTTAGCTCAAACTGACAGCGCGGTGAGGTTTATATTTCTCTTCTTCCGCCAAGTGCTCTATAAGGCCAAAGTGAAACATAACACAGAAAAAGCTGATTAAATGCTTACCTGTCGATAGTATTTCTCATAGACAGGATTCCCACTCGAAAGCTGCAACCAAATAACACAAAACTTGATTAAAATGATTCCGAGGACATTGTTCAATCTCTCTAAAACCCGTCAAACTGATAAAACCAGGACATAAATAAGTCAATTAAACAGCACAATCTTCTAAACTGTTGACTTCCTTGGCAGCATTGATGCATTCAGACCTCTGAAAAGCAAACGTTAAAGCCATCTGGCAACCAGGTGAACATTTATAAATGATCTCAGAATGACTTCAAGCACTCGCACACCTTTCTGTATTCAAAGATGTTGATTATACACCCATTCACAAATAAACGGAGACTTTCTTAAGTCGCCTGCCATTCTCTGCACAATAAAAACACTGAGCTTTTGTTGAGTTGTGATTCACAAAAGTCGGGGGGAGTAACGCACATTTGCGCAGCTGACTGCAAGCCAAACCATCGACATCGGGTTTAGTCACAGCCAAAAGGCGAATTTATAACATATGGACGGATCAAGTGAAATCAGACGCATTACGGAGACCAAATCATGACTGTTAAAGGGGTCATATGATGTTGCTAAAAAGAACATTATTTTGTGTATCTGGTGTAATGAAATGTGTTTAAGCGGTTTAAGGTTCAAAAAACAAATTTTCCACATACTGTACATTATTGTTTCTCCTCTATGCCCCGCCTTTCTGAAACACGTCGATTTTTACAAAGCTCATCGGTCTGAAAAAGCGAGGTGTGCTCTGATTGGCCAGCTATCCAGTGCGTTGTGATTGGCCGAATTCCTCAAGCGTGTGACGGAAATGTTACGACCCTTACCATATTGTGATGCCTGCGGCAACCACATGTGACAACCCCGGGCTGGACTCCGCTTCATCCACGGTGAAAGCCGATCCGGCGATCGACAGCGCGAAGTTGATATTTCCTCAGCAACCAGCACGGATCAGCTCCAGGCATGACGAAGCAATATCGTCCTCTTTTGGAAGGCCAAACAAAGTAGTTTCGCTTTCACAACGAAGCACATAGCGCCTTCACGACATGGCGGCGGCAACAACAATACTACAGCGAGAATAAAAGTTACGCCTTCTTTCTTTGCGTGAACATTTGGGCGGCGTTATGCAAATCTTCCCAGATAGTGACGTAGGTATGTGGGGGCGTGTTAGAACGAGCCGTTTTAGGTAGGCGTGGCTGACTCTTAACTTTTATAAAGAATATCTCTTTGGATTTGAGACTTTAGTCTTTGCAACTTTACAGATCTTCTTTATGCACCAAGAGCTTATAACACTCCAAAGAGAAAGGAAAAATTTAAATCGCATCATATGACCCCTTTAAATGGTGTTTTAGTAAACGTCAACCCCTCTGCCAATCAAAAGCTATTAGGAGCTCATATGATCTTACATATCACCATGATGCATAAGCATCAAATTGCTTTTCTGGCCATGTTAGGTTAAGCTCTGCCAGATCCCAACTGTTTTTTTTTATTGTAGTTCAACAGCTCTGTCTGTCTCCCATCAGGTGGTTACTGGTGCATGCTAATGTGATGCTGGCACACACTATTCAGTGAAGTGCCACCAAACATTTCCTTGCCCTGCTGAGAAAGAAGTAGGAGTTTTTGTTGTGCTTCTTTATTAAAAAAAAAAAAAAAAAAAAAAACTCCAACCACTTTGGCCTTTCAGGCTTTTCTGATTCCAACTCATTTCCTGAAACTTATTCTGGCATGTTCTACTTACAATTACCACGGTCCTACAAAGCAAATGCTTAGCAAACCACGATTAAACACAGAAGCTGAATAAAAATATTACAAAACGATGCATTTACAAATAATGTGGTGAAATTAAAGCTGCAAATATGAAAATATGAAACATTAAATGATTAATGGATTTTTTTTGATAAAATTGTTTTTAAAAAATTAAAAAATATAAAATATGAATTTAAAAAAAACTAACATTCTAAAAAACAACATTTTGAATATGATCATGGTGACTCACTGGATCATTTCATGGTTGTCTTTTGCCTCCTCACAATATGCCTAAAAAACCCTATGATCTTGGAATCATAGAAAGCAGAAGAGACGGAAGACATATCAGACAAGTCTCTTGCTCCGTCTAAAGTCTTCTTGATGAGGTAATGCTGCAATGCATATTTCATGCATGTGTGCCTTGCTTCTAAAACTGAGCACTCCATCAGCTGCAATGTGGTCAACACTACAACCATCCTTGCCATTAGAGAAGTGTTATTCTTAAAGCAATAAAAAAAAGCAAACATGCCAACTAAAACGAGGAACATTTTAGACCATCAATCAAATCAATGCATGGATCCCTCTAGACTATTAAAACAGCTATAAGTGACTCTATGCATGTAATGCATATGCTGCCAGAGACCTTTCTTACAGAAGAACAGCTGTATGAGTGTCACTGAAGCTATTTCATTAATATTTCATTATACACAAAGACCAAACCGGAAATAAGTTCATACTTATCTGGTTTGAGATTTCTGACTCTTTAAGGTGTTATTAAGACTGATTTTACGCGACTATAAGCTTTCCACAAAAGTGAAAAATACACAAAATGACTCCAACAGGATAGTACATGCCATATTTGCATAAAACAACGACTAGTTCCTATTTATTATTAATACATGAGGAGAAAAATAGTAAGCTAGCAGTGAAGCAAAACTTCCTGCTGCTTTTCAATGCCTCTAAAAACGCCGAGCATGGTTTAATGCACTAAAACACACCAGTAATCCCAAAACCAATGTCAGATATAAGTGAAATACGTTTTTAATATTATAAGTTATAAGTTATTGTGACATAAATTGAAGTAGTATCCGTCATTGCGCCTCTGTTAAGTTTTTATATAGGCAAAGACACATTTCACAAGCACTTTCGCACGTTCATAGCCGAGACATGTACAAATACAAGCTGATCTAAAAAAAAAGTTCAGTAACTTTGGATGATCTCATGACATGCAAAAGCTGAAAAAAATAAGTAAACTCTAAACAGCTCAGTTCAACACTGACACAGTAAGCTACGCCCTTACGCAAGTCCCTAAAAGATCATACTGAAACTTTTTCTCTGCCCAAGCAAATGGCTGAAAACAGCTTTAAACAGCCGCGATCAGATAGCAGGGTGTGATCATTTTCCACGCTAAACGGCTAAAATAAAGTTTAACGGATCTGATAAACGTATAAAACGAGCTGGAAAGTGGTATGGAGAGCGCTATATTTGTGTAGAAAGGGAGGTTACCTGAGTCAGGGAGAGACTGGCAGCCATAGTGTTTCTGTTCCCACTAGTTCATCCTGCGTTGCGATAGGCAATGGGCAATATAGGGATGCTACAAAACCTGGTACTGGATTACTCTGTGGATTGAGGATGAATAAAACCCGGCGCTGGATTTTTCAGTGGATCTGTAGGCGGTAACTAACATGCGATGGCACTTCTGGAGTTCTCGGTAGATCAGAAGGATATACAAAACCTGGCGCGGGAATTATCAGTGGACGAGGACTCCGTGAATTGTTCAGTTTGTAGTACTAAAAGCCAGAAAAATAGACTATAGGTTTTATAATGGAGATTTTTTTTGTGTGGGGTTAATTTTCACATTTTGTTGAAATTCTAAAGCTGCTGTATCTTTAATAGACGAATTAAACAGTTTTGTTTAAAGCTGTCCCTTTATTTTTCATTTAAAAAATATTATTTTTATTTAAAACATAAATTAAAAATGTAGTTGTCCGTTTACAAAGTGGTCTATTTTCATGTTTGTTTACATTAATAAATTGATAACTTATCATAATTTTAAGTGTCACTCCCAGTCCCCCTACACTTGACAAAACAGCTTATTTACTACAAAAAAAGCACACACACCATGTAATTTTAACCACACATATTTTACTCATAACCTAAAAGCAATATTCTACAAAGTCAAAAAGTGCACGTTTGCTGTTAAATTAAGTGTATGCATTTATTATATTCATAAGATTATTTATTTATTATCTATTTATCTTTTTTTTTTAAGTTAAGTAATTAATTTACAATATTTTTTTAGTTTATGTGTTCAAAAACTAGTCAAGACACTTGATTATATTACTCTTTTTGTAGTTTTATTATTGGACAACAACTTTCATACTAGAGCTTTACTTTTCAATATGTCAAGGAACATCCTTCAAACACAAAAAGTACAAAATATATCTTTAAAAAAAAAAAGGGGTCACAATCTATTTTGCTGGGAGAAGTATCTGATTGAAGCAGTGCAATATTCACAATGGCTGTGAAATCTCTTGTTGGAGAGCAGAAGTGTTACTAGAATCGCTATGGAACTTTCCTCGTAACACCCTTTGAAATCTCAGAAGCTTTCCATTTTTCCTCACTCCACAGGTTCAGCTTGGGCCCGATTACCATATTTGCCGAACTCAATAAATCAGCAATTCAGTTAATGAAAAGAACCAAAGCAAACACACAAGAGTTTTGCAGCTACTCAGAGAAATCATTGTTGATATTAATTCACTTTCTCCAAATATTCAGTCAGTCAGACATGGAAATTCTTCATTTTGTCTCTTGAGAAACCAGGTGAGTCAGAATTTGCTTGCTGACCAGGGCAAGATCAAAATTGTATCAGCTTGTGAGATCCACAGAGTGTTTAGGAAAGTACACAACCAAGATTTTAACCTGATCACTGATAGATTGATATTAAGAGCGAGGAAAATGTAATGAAATTGAGGTTTGGGTTAAGATGAAACATGCAATAAAGTGAGGACTCTCTCTCAAACCCAACACAAACTCACACACACACACACGCAAAACTGTGTCAAGCCAAAATGCTGCAGATGAGATGACATCTATCTAAACAACCTGGCATATTCTGTAACAGAAGTGAAATGGGAACGAAATGGCGGCAACAGTACCTCAGATTTGCTCCATATTATCAACAAAATCGATAACGATAATGTTTTTTGAGGTAAGTATTCTAGTGTATTGTAGCTACCAGTTGATGACTGTTATGATTCAAGTTTCATGTCACAGAATTGCTTAGCAAACAGGATATCTGACATTTGTAAACATGAGCGTTGAATTTTTATGGATTGTGGTATCTCACACTACAGATGGGGATGTGTGATTTTCATGTTGGCTGCCTTCAACCCTGCCCGACTGAAAATGCTTGGGACTTTGCTTGACATCATGCAAATGAAAATGATGAAAAAAGTTAATCTAAAAATAGGTTTGTAGTAGTGGAATGAGACAAAAAAATAAATCCTGCCGGAATCATCCGACAGACAACAAAAAGGAATGTCCAGCATTAGTCCAGTTCTCTGCCTTGTACCCCATTAATCATGGGGCATTTCTTCACAAGTTCCTGTTGAAATCTACAACTCGTCTTTGAGTTTAGAGTCTGTTTCCTCTTCCCCCTCCTCCTCCTCTTCTTCTTCTTCTTCTTCTTCCCCTTCCTCCTCCTCTTCTTCCTCCTCTTCCTTATCTTCCTCTTCCTCTTCATCCTTTGCCTCCTCCTTTCTTGTATTTTCCTCTTCCTCATGCTTCTTTCTCTCTTCCTCCTCTTGACCTTCCTTCATCTTCTTCTCAGCATCCTGAGATAAAAATGAGAAATTTCTGTTAAAAACTACAAGTGAAAGATGATTTAGGATGGAGACATAATAATTGAAGAATCATACCTTTATGGCACCCCAAGTCTCATTGCCAACCTCTTCTGCCAACTTAGGGTCATTAGTAATGAGAAAGTTGTCAAAAATTGTGCCAGATTTCACCTAAAGCATAAAATACAAGGAAAGGTGGTATAGAATGTCCCAATAAACAGTATTAAATATCTGAAAATTGTAATTGTGTTTGAGACACAAAGCAAATTGCTACCTGCCACAAGTCCAGTCCAATCACTCCGATGCTATCGTAGTTATAGATTTCGTTGTCAGCGGTGTACTCTGGGTTATCAATCTCAGGGTGCACCCATTTCCCCTTGTAAACAGGATTGTCAATCTGGTTGGGTTTCCACTCACCCTAGAAAATATAAAAAATTCATTTTGGAAATAAAACCCAGTATTCATTGTGACAAAATAATGTTTTAGGCATAATTTGCATCTTTTTTCAATATTAAAGCAGGCATGAAATGGAAATTCACCCTATATATTTTCTAAATGCATGTTATTGATCTTATTGCGAATGATTTATCCATGTAGCCTATAGGGTTCATACGCCAGGCTTCTCCAATCATAACCCCCCCCCCCCCCCCACGAGGGGCTGATCCTTGTTGCTGAAATCAGCAAAGCGGGATGACAGCGCGTAGAAATGAGCATCCTGACTGGTCTGAAGACCTGCAAGTTCACAGTGAGATATCCAAGTAACTTTTAAAGTTATTAAAATCCCCATAGAAATTATCTAATGAGTAGGACTTTAACTGTTGATAGATTGTTTTAATAATTGATTAAACGTTTGACTGTTTCTTTAATTAATTGAACAGAAAATCCAAAAACAGTTCCAAAATTAGGGCTGCAGCTAACGATTATTTTAAAAATGGATTAATCTGCAGATTATTTCTTCGATTAATCAAATGTAATAATCCAAAAATGATTTAGTATATTATATTACTATATTGATTAAAAACAGAATCATTTAAATTAAAAAATAAAATAATTTTAATCCATTATCTACATTCTTTAAATATTTTGTTACTTATCATACAAATATGAACGTTAAAAGATACAAGGTAGGCAGAACACGTTCAGTCATATAAACCCATTCAATCATGTCACATTTTTCCATTATAAATAGTCTCTTTACGGTTACTGCTCTCATTAAAAAAAAAAAAAGTACACGTTTAAAATTCTATATGTTACATTGATTTAATGTTTAAACAAGAAATAGTTTTGAAATATCAAATCAACATTTTTGGTCCTTTTCTTTGTTTTGAAAGACTGCCCATTTGAATGTGAAAAAAATCTGCTGTGATGATGTGAAAAATTAGATAAATACAGCCTCAAATATTTGTTTCTTTAATTAATTGAACAGAAAATCCAAAAAAAGTTCCAAAATTAGGGCTGCAGCTAACGATTATTTTAAAAATGGATTAATCTGCAGATTATTTCTTCGATTAATCAAATGTAATAATCCAAAAATGATTATATTATATTACTATATTGATTAAAAACAGAATCATTTAAATTAAAAAATAAAATAATTTTAATCCATTATCTACATTCTTTAAATATTTTGTTATTTATCATACAAATATGAACGTTAAAAGATACAAGGTAGGCAGAACACGTTCAGTCATATAAACCCATTCAATCATGTCACATTTTTCCATTATAAATAGTCTCTTTACTGTTACTGCTCTCATTAAAAAAAAAAAAGTACACGTTTAAAATTCTATATGTTACATTGATTTAATGTTTAAACAAGAAATAGTTTTGAAATATCAAATCAACATTTTTGGTCCTTTTCTTTGTTTTGAAAGACTGCCCATTTGAATGTGAAAAAAATCTGCTGTGATGATGTGAAAAATTAGATAAATACAGCCTCAAATATATCTTTTAATTACATACGTTTATCATTTTGATTTCACACAGCCTTTAAAGCATACTATATTCCTCAACCTCAGCGAAGCACATAGTTGGGACAAAAATGGGACTAAACTGAGTCTGTGCCAGGGTAACTGGACCCTACAGTACACGTGGTTTTGTAATGTTTTGAAACATAGTAAATATCAGCTGGTGTAACATGCCTGCAGCTCAGTTGAGCAGAGGGAATTACATCACAGACAGGAATTAATAGCCCCTCCCCTGGCGTATTATTCAGAGCATACAATAATGCAAAACGGAGGAAGCCACAAATTCAAACAAACCGGTGTCAATTATCTGGTGCCTGTAATAAAGAAAGCAACACTCACCCTTATCTTTCTTGGCATCGCCATAAAATTTGCCTGCAGAGAGGACAAACTTCCCGTAGTCTGATTTATGCTTGGATTCCACCCATCGGCTCCTCCAGGTGTCTGAAATGTGCATGTGTGACATGAATATAAAATTAAAAGCATGCATATATGCATAATTATGAGCAAGATCAGATTAAATCAAGGACGTTTGCTCCACTGATCATTATTCATCCGTTCTGCCTTGACTATTTGTTATAAGATAACCACTATCCAAACCAAGACTAAGATTTTAAATTATTATTATTATTATTATTATTATTAAATGAAATGCAACACACCATTGTTGCCAAGCTATTAAAATGGCATATAGTGACTCCATCACATAGAAAATCAGGTCTATGGTGACTCCATCACATGCTCGAAAGCCACAGATAAAGCCGCATAAATAGTATTCAAAAAGCATAAAAGCACAATTGCTTCAAACTTACCACCGTCTTCAAATTGCTCTCGGAAATAAACAGATGATTCTGCAGTTATTAAAGCGATGGACACGGCCATAACCAGTAGAGATAACGCTGTCATCTTTGCAGTCAAATATATATATACTCTTTTTAGGGTAAAATATAAAGGAAACGATTTAATAAGAAATATGAGGCTTGAATATGTATAGAATGAGCGCTGTTTGGATCTTCACATGCCTGCACAAATCACTGCGCGCTGCTCTCTTGCGCTCAGTCTCGCCTCTAAACTGGGAACAGATGGCTGGCTCTGATTGGACGGCAGCTGGAGACGACAGCGTCACACCGGTCAGCCAATCAGATCATTAGCGGAATGATGTGGAAGGTCCTTTCTGGCCAATGCCAGCTGACCACGCGTTTGGCAGACACTAGTGATGAGAAGACTCGTTTCCGCGAATCGGTTCAATGAACCGATTCGGAAAACGGATTCAGTGGTTCCATCGTTCTTACGTGGTTCCTGACATCAGGCAGTCTGGCAGTGGTGGTGGTGTATATTATCTAAAATCTTTCATTATAGCCACATGTATATACATATTATTGTTTTGCATATTATAAAACCTGTTATGGCGTTTCTGTCTTGTTTTTCACGTCTTAATAAAACGCTTACAACCAAGTCTGTTTCATATCTATGTTAATTAAATGGTCGTGCAATCAAGTTGTGAATGTATTTCCAACAGTTTAATTTAATATTTCTGAAATTTGAAGATGCGTTTGGTTCGACGAGTGCATTTTTGAGTCGAAAACTGCTTCCACTCGATCAGCGAACGAATTGTTCGTTTCTATTCACGAATAATTCGTTCAGATCAGCTTGTGAAACAGGTTCAGCACGTTCTTTAAAAAGAACCGACCAGATTCGAAGGAATACTATTTTAGTTTAAAGTTGTTCAAAAACAAGATCTTGTTCATGGAATTGGTTTTTATTTCCACTGCATTTTATTAAACCAAGCATGTGGTTTGCAAAAATGTATATAGAGATATCAAGTCAAGAGTTTTGAGAGCTTGGCACATTATCTTTTATTTCTCTTTTACATTAGACAAATATCAGTAACCAGGCCATTTCCCACTGGTTTCTGTGTTATCAGTGGGAAAAGGAAATGCAGAATTAAAGCTTGCTCAACTAATAATAACAAACTGCACTAAGCCAAACCCTAAGCAGAAGACTGAATGTTTAGTAAAGTAACTTTAGTAGATGTTGACAAAAATCCCACAGTTTGGCATCACTTGTCTGACATTATTTGTAGACAAAACCCTTACAAAAGTTTAGAATGTTAGCTGGTGACATGGTTCATCCATCAAACACTAACCTGTAGTTACATTCAAGCACAACTTGAATATAGTTCTTTCAGTAAACATTATCAGAGCTGACACTTACAAATCAAAAAGCTTGTTACTTTTAGCAATGAATTTGCCAAAGATGCATGTTACTAGTTGAAAACAGTACAGTGAATAAAATCAGGTTAATTTGATAAATTGGCAAACTACAGAAAAATGCGTACTGGCCTATGTGAAAAAGTTACATCAAGTCTCAGTTGTATAGTAATGATTCCTTCAATCTCATGTTTGTCAAGCTTAACCCTCTAGCTCTTTTTCTACCTACATAAAAACGATCATTTCAGTAGCATATCTTCACCAACAACTGAATCACTTCAACATTTTCATATCAGAATGTGTTAAAAATGGAAATATCAATGAAAAAGCACATATGATTTTAACTAGTTTTGAAGAGGTTGTAACATTTAAATATACAGGACACAAAAAGATATACAATAAATAAACAAAAAATTGTTACATAAGTCTTGAAATATGATCTTTAATGCATGATAATGATGACTGAAATATGCCAAAAATATAAAACAGCAACTAAAAGAAATATTCCAGGTTAAAGAAAACTTACATTCAGTCGATTACTACAGAAAAACATTTAAAATGGTCTTTTAAAACGCATTTGGCAATAATATACTTACAGGAAAAGCCTAGCAGATCCAATCAATTAATTTTTCTATTGAATATCCTGTTTTGCTCAGAAATACATAGTATGGAAGCATAAAAAGGTTGCAAACAGCAATTTCCATTTAACTGTAAATGTAAAATAAATAAATAAAAATTAAACATTGTGGTTTTGCTTGCTTAAGAGGCTTCCAGTGTAAGTGCATTACTGTAAATGCAGTCTTTTTTTTAAAGAGGTTAGGTTGCTTAAGTTCATATCAATGCATGTAAACTGTAACATTGCTTGGGAGAAGTAGATAAGATAGATACAGATAAAAAGTTCTTAAAAATATAATTTCAGTAGGGTTTACCATGAGCAAACCCCTCTCTCCCTGTCCTATATAGAGTTGAAACTCTACATATGAAGTTTTTTTTCTGCATTGTCAGCGTTGTATAATTTGCATTTCAGATATCAGCAGTCATTTCTGCTTCATTCAAGTATATTCTGTGTTTCTTTAATGTCAGTGATCTTATGTTGCTCTCCGTTATGGCAAAAAGAAATTGATCCTTTGAGGAATGGATTTGCAGCCCTGTGCAGAGAAGAGTTTCTCCTCCTTAGGAACGTACAGCATGGCTTTAGCCACTTCATCCAGAGTCCCCTCATCCGGCTGAAGGTCACGAGCTGCATATGCATCACGTGCACACAGTTTCACATGCCGGTACTCCAGCGGCAAGAATGGTACAAAGAAGTCAATCAGATGGCCTGAAATCAGCTCACTCTGCGCAAAACCTCCTGCAAAGGTAAAAAGTAATTTAGCAATAGGAATCATAACATTTTTTCATGAAAATCACAGACTTGTATATATGAATTTAAATACGCAACATCTATGAGATATTTGTCAGATGTTTAGCAATTAGATTTATTAGTTCTGTTATGATGTACTTGACTGCAGGTACCTTCTGCTTCCATGGCTTCAGCACGCAGAAGATGTTCCAAGTCTTCCATGCCGATATCTTCCCTATTCTGTCCCGAGTGCCAGAAATCAAGTGCCACCTCATTGATGGTACCACCACCGATATTGCTAAAGCATGACATTAAGGAAAAATACATTAGTTTTTCGTTTTTTAATTGGATCATAGCAACAAATTACATTTTTCAGATTTTGCATCTGTAAAGAACACACCAACCTTAAGAACAGAAATATGGCTCTTCTATAGCTGACCCCATCCACATTATCATAGTGGTCCATGTAGGGCTTTATGGCATCAATGAGTCCCGGGTGAAGCTTTTCTGCCTCATCAAAGATAAAGAGAGTCTGTGGGCATCGCAGAACCATGTCTCGAATGGCTTCTCTTAGCTGGCCCTGGTCGCAAACACACCCACACAAATACAAACACAAGTAAGGTTCAGGATTCACTAACACGTACGTGAATATTTCAGAATTTGGAGCGCAATCAACTGAATCAGGTTTTCTAACTGAACTATCCAAGTATATCAAGGTTGAATTGCATAATCATACAATTGTACCATAGCTTTGACATCTCATGGCAGTGATCCAATAAATGTTCCCCAGAAGCCCAAAAAAAGCGATTGTATTGGAACCCTGCCTATGTTAAATGCATTGCATTTAGTTTTTTCAAGTTAAATATATCCAAGTAGATGAATTATAGTACAAGTAGCAAATATTTTACTAATGTGTAACATTATAATGTAACCAAATACTACTCATTTGTTTGTAAAAGGTCAACTAAATCAACAGACAACTGCTGAAACTGACCTGGGCAGCTGTGTGGATGTCAAATGTTGAACCTTTGCTCACCTTGTACACGTCCACCAATCTTGCGTGAGGGAAGTGGAATGGGGCAATGAACAAACGCACACATTCACTCTTTATACCATCCCGGTAGAGGTTGTCCGCTACTATCCGGGCCACAAAGTTCTTGCCTGTCCCAGACCAGCCGTGAAAGGACAAAGTCAGTGGTTTGTTGGACTCGGGGTTTTTGATGAATCCCTGAATGGCTTTCAGAACCACAGACTGGACCAGGTGCTGCCCATGAAGCTTCACCTGTAGATCTTTTTCCAATCCTGAAATATGCATTGATAAAGGTTCAGACTTTCCCAAGATTTTTTGTTTGAACTTTCTGATATTTCTATCATTTCAACAATTGTAAAAACCTGAATATTTGTATAAAATAATGCATGCATGATGTTGATGTCTCCACCTGTGATGTTATTTGTAATCCTACAGTCTCCCGAATCACAGCACTGACCCAGGCTGCAGTACCATGCAGTCAGCATGCCAGTGTAGTACTGGGGAAACCCTGACCAAACGTCCCCAGTAGCCACTGAGAAGAGTGTTACATAAGCCCGCAGTGAGTTAAATTACAATCAGTACAAATACTGCCACTCTTTAAAGAGACACTGGGAAAAGTTCATCCAAATCAACTTAAAAATGCATTTTATTATTATCCGTATCTATTTAATATATTCATACATTATATTTACATAATACATTATTCCGCTCAGTATTGTTAGAACATTTCTAAACGCATCCATTAAAAACTATCAGAAAAAAAAAACTCATTACACGTTGGTTATTCAATCCATCTTAAATTATGTAAATTATATATATGCTTTGTATATTTATATAAACATTTTACCATAGTATATATTAAAATATACCTTTATTATATATAGCTATATCTTTACCTTGTTGGGTTGCATCATCCTGGTGTGGTTGACAGTCCCCTTCCCAAATATTGCAATAGATGTAATTGAAATAATAGGAAGAAACATTTGAAATGCTATCGAAGTGAAAAAAATCCGCATCAGCCGAAATAGCCAGGAATGAGAGCAAGATTACGAGAGAAAACATCGGTGCCGACAGAAATATAGCTCTCGCAGAGACTGTAACATTGAGCTATTAGATGTAATTGTAGCGTCCATTCACACGCGCATCCGAGCCTCACTGACTGCAGGCCGCATCTGCGCTCAGCACTGAAACACGTCAATCTTCACTGGAACAGGGCACAAAGTGGGCGGGGCTTGCTGTTGTAAGAAAAGATTCTGCGATTCTTTTATCAAACCAGTGGTTATTATAAACACGATATAAATCAATCAAATATTTAAAAACCCCGTGTCATTTTTCAGGTTTAACTTCATGAAGTAGCACAGACCTGGTCACGTAGCAATAGCTCATTTTCTCAGCGTGGAGCAGACTGGACCAATCGCAGTAGTTTGAGAAAGTGGTGCGAGGTTTGATTAGATTGCTGGGCTAATTTGCATATGCAGAACCGATGTTAGCGACAGAGTAAACGTTGCAGCCACTCGAAATACTGAGAACGTGATTGTTAACATGAAACCCCATTTCCGACATAGAATAAAGCCTCGGTCACACTACAAGCGACACACAACAGCAAAGCGACAAGCCCATTCATTTCAATGGAGAGCTGGCGATTTCCGGCATAGATAAACATACACAAAGTAGGCTCCGTTTCTCATTCATTTATACGGCTTTAATTTAATATTTTGCCTCAAATGTTTGTACTTGACAAGAAACCCGAGTCGCCGTCAAGGCAACCAGTATTGAGAACGCCCACTAGCAGCCTCAGCCCCTGGCGACATGTGAACGGGGCTTTAGGCATGCATGGAAAATGAGCCATGAGACAAGAGTCGTGTAAATCAACTTACAGGTGCCATCACGACAGAATTCACTTCATTTTGAGCTGCAAAGGATGTGCAAGACACTAGCTTCCGTAGCTTAGGTTTAGCAAGTCGGCATTAAGTGTAAAACAAGCCAGGTCAAACGGCATGCTACCAAAAGTGTCTTGAGTGTTCAGTTTAAATGGTCAATGATAGAAGAAAACAACTCACACACCACAAGCACTTTATACACTTGAGACTGACCTTTAATTTCACCACTTTATTGACAAGATTTTACAAACTTTGCATAGTTGCAACAGATGCAGATAATGGATCTGAAAGTCATTTTAAATTGCTTCAAAGAGACTACAAAAATCAGAGGTACAAGAATTGAAGCCCTGGAACACCATTCAGAAGTCATTCTGCAAGAAACAAGGAGAGATTTTAAGAAGAGCACAACCACAAATATCAAGGTTAAAGTGGAGTCAAAGTCAACCTCAGATATATGGAACGGTATAGGGATATAATCAGCAGATTCATTTGGCAGAATCATGTCATCACAGGTTGCAATAAACACTGAAAGAGAACATGTCATAACCATACCTTATACTACAATGATGTTTCCGAGCCATCCTGGATGATCTTGAGCTCCCTAAAGAGACAACCATTGGTTAGTTGGTCACAGGCAACATGTTGTCCAAACCAGCCACCTGGGTTTCAGTCAAAGACTGTCCACATTGTGTGTTCAGGTCAGACATTTGAGGCATCACAAAAACCCAACTATGAAAGATATTGGGAATGTCTGCAAAAAAAAAAAAAATCAACCTTTAAAAAAAAAAAAAAATGCACACCTCATACTCCCATGGCACGACCCAGGGGGTCACCACCATACCAGTCAATGAGCAGACGCCTGTTAGAACAGAACATCCATGAAAAACAGAATTTTAACATGTGACCAGATCAGCCAGAGCTAATATTCATCCTCAATGGCAAAGTCAGTGGATATCGGATTCAATGGTCAGAGCTACAGATTTACAACTACAAAAAGGAGTAAATGCTTACGGTGACTCATCAGCACATCATGCTGGTCAGAAGGCCTAAAAAGACACAAGGACAATTAAACTCACCATTCTTATTTAAAAAGAAAAAAAAACGCACAACTACGTGGTCTTAAATCAGAACGTTTTAACATGTCCTCAAAAAGATCAGAGACCTGATTCAAACTCATCAGTTTGAGACCACTGTAGTACCAGTAACACATCCCTTCAACTGACTTACCCTGAAAAACATTCAGACAGCTGCAGATTCTCCCATAGCCAGACATGCTAGCTCCCCAGTTGAACTCCTGCTGCAAAGAGAAACGAGACTTAAGACAAAACCACTACTAAAAACATAGAAATAGAACCCCAGTGATGCATCAGCTAGGAGCGAAAGACTATGCTTTGTGTTCTTCATGGATTTTCTGCTGAACTATGCAGTCATCATTTGCATCACAGAAAGTAAAGTATTAAAAATGGTAAATTCATACCGTGGTCAGCTGATGGCATCTTCAGCTCTCGTGCAAACATCTTAAACCTGTAATAAAATGCTGTTAGTACAGAACAGAGACAGAGACCATTAGGTCTTAAACAAGCACCGTTTCAGTACACCGATGTCTTTCAGTCTAATTCAGAGAGATTCCCATTGTTTTATAAAACAATCATCATGAACAGTGAATGACCGCAGCTTAGGAGGCACTTCAGAAGCACTCAAATGCTTACCTTTCAATTCAACTGCACGTTCCTATGAATCAAAAAAGGTCAAATTAACAAAAGGACACACACAAGCAACACTTTTATTCAAATGCTGTGCGTCAGACAAGTTATCTTGGTGGTTGCGGTTTCATCAGAGTAAACTCAAGAGTAGCAAATGGGGTCATCATACACTTATTAAAGCACAGCATGTACAAAACAATATATACCTTTGATACAGCTTCCCAGATTCACAACACAATCCTGCAAACACGTCAAAAAAATTGGTAAAAAAGCCAACTGTAGTTTAAAAATGATAAACCCTCAGAAAATGCCTCAGAAAATGGGTTCTCAGAAATCACTCCTGTCCACTACTTTTATTTCTTTTTTTATTCATCATAAGCAAAGTACTCCATGCATTTCTTCTCCCTGAGTGAAAGGAATACCTTGGACACACTGCTGTTCCAGATCCACTCGATTCCTTCAAGCAAAAAAAAAATAAAAAATAATAATAATATTACAACTGTGAAAAGTTAACTTAACCTCAATTAAAACCCTCAATGCTTCAGTGCAAAAACAATTCTCAGAAACCACTCCTGTCCACTACTCTTACACATATTCAGTCATCATAAGCAACGTAACCACCCTAGATAGATGATAGCAGTACATACCAGCCGTCTCCCGCGTTTATCAGTCCTCAGGATACTGGACCTGGAGATAGATGGGGGGGAAAGAAACCTTATAAAAGCTTTGCACGTATCAGACAGTACAAGACCGCACGCAGAGCGTAGTTCTGCATGTCAGAGATGTTGGTACTCATCAAGTTTTCTCAGATGTCCCTACCAACATCATGTATCATCACGCATGTGAACATGAGGTAATGACTCGCCACAATAGCACTTTCAAACCACGTGGAAGAACAGTTAATTAAGCGTTAAATATTAGTTTCTGTTTAAGTACTATTAAAATATTTCACTTAAAACATATTTGAAAAGGCAGTTTAAACAAATTATTTAACTCTCATTCGAGGCCTGTAACACGAGGCCCGCACTTCGAATGATCAACTCCCTTTCTTGCCGAATCGAATTTAAAACACAGAATAAAACTTACTTTCTACACAACAAACATGGATACTATAGAAAACCCCACATTACATAAAATTACTGTAATACAACGAGTAAATGAAGTACCTGCTCTACTCTTGACGCGCCGCAGAAGAATGAGACCGAGTGAACGCGTCGCTTAGCTTTTTATACCGTTTCAGCGCAATGGTTTCTGGGAAATTCCTCTGCTTATATTAGATGCACTTTAATGTCACCAGGTGGCGCTGTGGTGCCTTTTGCGTTCAGTGATACCAGCACGTTTACTTATTTAAGTAGTATAATAATGTGAGATGGGTGCGCAAAATGGCTTGTTCACGTTCCGTTTAATGCATCTAGTAAAGTCATAGATAGTGGTTTCATGACATTATATGGGCACATATACAATATCGCTTGGTGCTTAAAAGTTATAGCAAACGGTATTTATTTTATAGAGAGTTAACCCCTAATCCCACCGGTCACAATAATGATCGTAAAAAAAGGTTTTCATTTATAAAGCTCTAAAAACCTTACCGAATGATGTTTTAGTGCACTTCATGCAAATATGGAAAAAACAAAGGGTCTCAAATGTTACAAAAAATTTACAATATTGATGTTGGTAGCACTAATATAAAAATGTGATGCTATATTTGACAAAAAAGTAACAATTTTGAAATGCCTTGATGGTTGAATTCTTTAGTTTTATCAATGTTGCATAAAGTTTTTTTTATGCATAATAATAATAACCCTAGAATGTGATCAAACTGTTTAAAATAGCTGGGCTAAGATATATAAAAAATGTTATGACTGCAGAAATATGTTAATTCAGTACTCACCTTATCCCACCGGTCACAATTGTGACCGACCATAAAACACAAATTTTCACACTTTTCCAAAAAAATTTCTAAAAAGAATTATTTCAAAGGGTTACTAATGACACATCATTTGGATATTTTCATGTCTGGGAAAAATTTGGGATTAAACGGGTTTTAATGTGAAATAACTCTTAATTGGTATACTTTCTATATATCACTTGAAGGTTTCCCACACATTTGACCAAAGAATGATTTTTCCAGTAATTTGTCATTTCTGAATAAGATTTTTTAAACACTTACTAGATTTAATTTCTAGTTACTAGATAAAGCGTTATTTCATTTTGTTCTTGAAGGTACTTTCTTTTCTTGTTTTCTAGGGTTCAAACTTACCCCGGTAGCCCATTTTGAATACATGACACCATTCCACTCTCCCTCTATGGAGTAGAATGACTTCTTATCATTGGGCGCACTAAGAAAAAGGACAATATTATGAGGATTTTATTATATATTTTCAATTAACATGACAATAATCTTAATGCATTTGCATACAAATTTCTTTTCATGGATTTATTGTAACAACTAAAGAAACCATGACAGTAGCGGTTATGGTTGAATTTATGGAAAGTACCACTTTAACTTACAATATCTCAGCAGTTATTCTGTGCTTCTTTCCTCCATAGAATGGTTTGGTGTGGAAAACTATATTGGCACTGTAGCCAGATTTGGAACAGGAAATATTGCACTCTCCACCCAGCTCAACCCATGGAACAGTGAGGATTGACCTATTGGAGCACAGTAAGATGGATGGGATTGCTCTGCCCACTTCCCCCTCTAGAAATCAAAAAATCTAAAATACATCAGTGTGATAAATTGATCAAATAGAACCATGCTTACCTTCCATAGCCATTGGGAAAAGTAAGAATATAGTGCTCATCATATTCAAGGCAAGACACACAACCTATGGGAAACAGGAGAGGACAGTTAAGCACCGCAATAGCACTAATGTGTATTAATCACTACTTAACAACGTCCTCGACTACCTTGACCAATATTATGGACACCAATTGACATTCCAAGGAACTTTGATTTCGTCCAGATGTGGGCGTTGAACTGGATTTTTTTGCTGAAACACTCAGCATAAAATGCAGATACTGCAAAAGGACAAAGGTGTTGGAAACCGTCCATTTACCCAAAAATCACAACAGATTATTGCAATATAGTGCTCATCATATTCAAGGCAAGACACGCAACCTATGGGAAACAGGAGAGGACAGTTAAGCACCGCAATAGCACTAATGTGTATTAATCACTACTTAACAATGTCCTCGACTACCTTGACCAATATTATGGACACCAATTGACATTCCAAGGAACTTTGATTTCGTCCAGATGTGGGCGTTGAACTGGATTTTTTTGCTGAAACACTCAGCATAAAATGCAGATACTGCAAAAGGACAAAGGTGTTGGAAACCGTCCATTTACCCAAAAATCACAACAGATTATTGCATTAATAAATAAGTTGCTAATTAAACGGATAATTGTTTTTGTTTTACTTTTCAGTACCAGGTCATTTCTGGTAACTTGTAAATTGGATCTATTTTCTTCTACTAGTGGCTAGGATAAATTAGTTAGGGATACTCAGGGATAAAGTTAGTAATTAGTTCAGCACTTACTAGGAGGGTGGTGAGAAACCTGCTCTGCCACGAATGACACACTGTTTTTGCTACTCCACGGCACTGGCCCGTCTGATACAGACTCCTAGAAAGATAGACAGTGACAACAAATAAAATCTGTTAAGGTGCTGCAAACATTGGCTTTTTAGACCTTCAAACACACACACTCACAGAAGCAGCAGGATCCTCCGTTTCGGAAGGCAGGTCCCAGTGACAGAAGAACACCTCGCCCAGAATGGGGTTGTAGGGCTTCTTGGCCACAGATCCTTTCCGACCAGCGTGAAAGGCTGAGAGGTACCACTTTACCACATGCACCATGCGGTCCCTTGGATCCTGCTGATCTGCAATACTGCAAAATGTGCCAATCATGAGTTCATTAAAATGAACTGCTGGAACAAATCAACTTGCTAGAACGAATCACACTTCTATTTCAGAGAGCAAAGATATTCAGGCAGGACATGTTGAATTATTTCCTCAGCTCATTTGGTTGCAACATTGGAACCAATTGCACAGTACATTGGAAACAGCTCAGCTGCTGTCTGGCTACTCAAAAATGTAGTCATGTGTTAGTAGCATTGCTACTTTTAAATTCATCAATTATTATTATTATTATTAAATTCGCTGCTGTAATCAGACATAAGAATGATAAGCCCATATGGTAGAACAGCTGTGAGATCTATAAAAAAGACAGGATGTGCATTACCTTACAAACAAATCTGGGTGTGCAAAGAAATCTGCATACATTTCCAGCAACGACCTCCGCTCCAAGATAAATGTCGGCAAGACGACCTGAGGATGACCAAAGATGGATTAAAAGGTGGAAACGGTATGAAAAAAATAGGTGAGAATGTAAAAAAATAAGAGAAGGTTGTTTGTGTTTACCTTGGTGAGATCCATGCCCAGTCGCACTTGAGACAGCAGATGCATGATGACACTTTTGTGTTCTTCCACAGATTCACCCTCACCGTCATCATCTTTCTCATCATGACTGTCAAACTGATCTGAGAAAAACACACAGCAAACACTGAACATAAAACAAACATATACACACACTACTGGCCAAAAGTTAGAAATAAATATTTTCTTAAATGTTTTTGAAAGAAGTTTCTTATGCTCACCAAGATTGCATTTATTTGATTAAAAATATAGTAAAAATCATTAATATTGTGATTTGGGGCTCAAGGGATATTTCTTATTACTATCAATGTTAATCAGTTTTTGCTGCTTAATATTTTTGTGAAAACCGTAGTTTCTTTATGTATATGATTAAAACAATTATTTTATTCAGTAAGGATGCAAATTGTTAAAAAAGTGACAGTAAACACATTTACGATGTTACAAAAAATTATATTTTAATATAAATGCTGTTCATTAAACTTTCTATTAATCAAAGAATCCTGAAATAAATCACCTTTTTAAAGAAAATATTAAGCATCAAAAACTGTTTTTAATATTGATAATATGAATCATTAATAATATGAGCTCCAATAACAATTGTGCACCAAATCAACATATTATAATGATTTCTGTAGAATCAAATTTCAGTTTTGCCATCACAGGAATAAATTACATTTATTTACACCACAATATATTCAAACAGAAAACAGTTATTGCAAATTAGTAGTCTTTGGTGTATTAAAGAAATGCAACATTGGTGAACATTAGAGACTTTTTCAAAAACACTAAAGAACCTTAATTATTGTTAATAAAAATGTATTATAATAAATATTAATTATTCTAATTCATCTTAATTATACTATACACATTGTGAGTTTTTGCTTGGTGCTGGTGTTAAAACTGGTCAAATTCTAAATAAAAAAAAAAAAAAAAAAGTACACACTTCACTTTCAACACAAGCACCAAGCAAGAAGACACAACACAAACACAGCATGTGCTCGGATTCATTTTGGGAAACTTAAACGTGAGGGACGTGCGTGTGTGTGTGTGTGTGTGTGTGTCTGTGTGTTTTGTGTACCTGCATCAGTGGTGCCGTTCGACATGGAGGAGTTGATTGATTCGTTGGTGTCTGGTCGTTTCAGTGCTGTGCTGTCTTCACTGTTCACAGCAGCGGTTCTGTTCGGACTGCAGATACACAAGAACATCACGTCAGCTTATTCCAGAATAAATTATGTGGCAATGGAAGATAGAGTTTGTGTGTGTAAGTGAGTCCATGCACTGTTTTAATTAGATCAGTGTGTGTTTCTTTTTGTTTGCAGTAAATAGTGCGTGGGAGTGTGTTTATCTCTAAGCAGTACTTACTGTTTTCATATTATGCAGCGTTAGTTAATGTGCGTGTGGGCAGGTGGTGCTACTATATATATATATATATATATATATATATTTACTTGTGCAGCAGTACTTCAGTGAGTTTTAATTATATAGAAGGTGTTATGTGTGTGTTTCTGTACATTACTTACACTATTCTGTGTTTCAGTGTGGTGTGTATGTGTGTGTGTTTAACTCACTCTATGCAGTGTTTCGGTGAGGTACTGCTCTGATAAAACTCATCTGCATCGTAAAACTCATCTTCACTGCTGGAATAGGAGAAGTCAGGGACAGTGTGGGGTGGTACGTTCATGTGACTGGGCGAAGTCACGCTGCTGCTGGGAGCTGAAAGACCACTCCCTAAAACCAGGGGAAGAAAATTAAACTTATAAATGTGAGAAGAAATGCAAGTGTGCTGA